TTCTCAAGTCATATGAACCCAAAAATATATTATGACTGTATTTTATAATCATGGGTAAGAAGCAGATTCATTCATTCACTGAGATTCTGCAGGGATTCTCTTCCAGAATCCTACTATATATTGTATATTTAATAACAGAAAATACACATTTCTCATCCTATAGGTGCTTCCATCATTCTGCTTTCCTGACTAATTACATAAAAGTGAAATAACCAAAGTTATTTGCATTATACATGAACCTTTTCAATTAGCTTTAATGAGCAGTTCCTTATCATTTAAGTATTAGAACACAAAATATTCATTATATTAGATTAGATAAATTTTTCTAGCTTGTCTATTATCGTTCTGTATGCTTCATCATAACATTACAGTTTACAATAGTATAATAAAACTAACATAATTTCTTGAAAACAAGGCATTATTGTTTTTTATATAATTGAAAATACCTAGTCATTTATTACATGTTTAACACAAGCTTATTATCATATAAATAAAATGCCATGAATGTGCAAAATGATTCCAAAATGAATGAACTCGGAGTATGAAGAGACTTTATCTATGAAAAGACTTTATCCGAGAAATTATAATTAAGTTCATAAATATAACACACATGAATGAAATGGTAATACTTATCAACTCACTGTTATTCACAGTTCCCAAAAATCAAAATAAATTTAATAATTATTATCACAATAATGCATACCCACAACCTCAGATAACATCAAGGTGAATACAAGAACCTAATGAAAGGCAGTGGAATTCACAGGTCAAAATACAGCTAAACCAAGCTAACACATAGGACGTAATGCATTAGAAGTGATGAAAGCAAAGTAATTTAATTCAAGCAATTCCTAGTTATTTGACACTAAGTAATCTAACTGAAAATAACAATAAATACCTTTATTTGGCTTTTCTTGAAAGTCTGCTTCAGCCTTGGCCTCCTCTACCAGACTGAGCATACCGTGATCTCTTCCTTGATGAGCCTACTTGACTGAACCTAGCATATGCTACCCTAAAATAAACTAGAATTAAACTTAAAACAGGGTAGACTGAAACGTAAGAAATTCATTATTGAGCACATTTCAAACTGCCAATGTTGCCTTAAATTTTATTCCTCTTTTCATTAATTTCTTGGAAAACAAAAGAGTACCATCTGATGATACTCAAAATGGAATGTTAATGTTTGAAACAAATAAATGTGCTAGACATCAAAAGGACGAATGTGATTCTGTGTTCAGTATTGATGGAAGAATGGGGCAGGGAAGGAATGTGCACTAAATTGTTATTGTTATCATTATTGTTATTAGTTTTATATTATTCCTATGGTCCATATCAAGTCCCACTGACATTTTTAATGACACGTTTGTACATCTGAAATTCTTAAATATGTAGTTATAGACTGTAAATTAACCTTTACAAAGGTAAAAAATGAAGAAGTACAACCTTTCAACATAACTGACTTTGAAAATATTTTATGAACAAATGGAATATGTATCGAGAATTCCCTATTAACCCTAATCTGGCAGTGCAGAATTATCTGTGTGGTACTCATTCCGGTAATTATTGGCAACCTTCTACCCTTTCCAGCAGCGAGTTCGCTGTGTACAGTCAGCCCTTCTCACTCACTCTCAAGAGCGAGTCATGACACATATATCATGAACGGAGGGCTTTCCGTGATGGCTATAGCCATGCCTGCAGCAGAGTGTTAACATATCCATGAAAAATAATTTCTTAATCTTAATGCATATATATAGTTCTTTGTAAATCACAAATGTTCCAGTATTTTTTTGGAAGCTATAATAAGGAAGCCTAAACAATAAAATCATACAGTAGTGCACAATGAAAATATATGGAGAATCAAATAATATCTTTGGTTACGATAACATTGTAACTTGTATGTCATCCTACTCTAAGACCATGAATCAGAAAAAAATTATAGATAATGTTTTCTCCTCCAGTAGATTCTTACTTTGCATATTTTATCTCTTATTTCCGCTCTCTGACATATTTGGCATTTTTGTGTGTGTGTGTGAGCGTGTGTGTGAGCGTGAGAGTTTGAATGTGTGTGTGTGTGTGTGTGTGTGTGTGTGTGTGTGTGTGTGTTGTGTGTGTGTGTGTGTGTGTGTGTGTGTGTGATGTGTTGTGTATCTGTGTGTGTGTATCTGTGTGTGTATCTGTGTTGTGTATCTGTGTGTGTGTATCTGTGTGTGTATCTGTGTGTGTGTATCTGTGTGTGTGTATCTGTGTGTGTGTATCTGTGTGTGTGTATCTGTGTGTGTGTATCTGTGTATCTGTGTGTATGTATCTGTGTGTATGTGTATGTATCTGTGTGTATGTATCTGTGTGTGTGTGTTTGTGACTGTGTTTGTGACTGTATATTTGTGACTGTGTTTGTGAGTGTGTGTGTGTTTGTGACTGTATATTTGTGACTGTGTTTGTGAGCGTGTGTGCATGTGTGTTTGTGACTGTATATTTGACTGTGTTTGTGAGTATGTGTGTATGTGTGTTTGTATGAAAATATATGGATAAACTGTGTTTGTGAGTGTGTGTGTGTGTTGTGTCTGTTTGTGAGTGTGGTGTGTGTTGTGTGAAAATATATGGATAAAATAGCACAAATCTGAGGTTTGCTTCCAGGTCAGAGAAAACCAAGTATTTAATACTTTTTCCCAAATGCACTTACCAAATGCCATACAGTATTCAATACAACATAGTACCTAATGCACTGCAGTAATACATATTGTCTCCTTAGACTTCTAGACACATCAGTGTGTTGTGACCATTGTCCTGTTACTACAAGGTTTTCATAAGTGGATTCCTGAGGTAAATAATTAAGTCAAGGGCAAGATACATTGCCCATGCATACACCACACACAACCACCTTTCCATGTGTGAAAACCCTTCTGTTCCTCAATCACTGACAAAATGCTCCACTTGCAGCCACACACAAAGACACTACCACACCCACACACTCACCATTCCCCCCTCCTCCTCCCCCCCCTCTCTCTCTCTCTCACACACACTACACACATACATAAACACACACACACACACACACACACTCCTTTAAGCATACGTAAATTATCAAGCCCTCATGCACACACACACACGCACGCACACACACACACACACACATGCGCACACACACACACACACACACACACACACACACACACACACACACACACACACACACACACCACACACAACACTCACAACAAACACCACACACACACACACCACACTACACCACACACCACCACACACACACCACATACACAAATCTGTCCCATAATTATATTGGCATATTAGACATTATGAGCTTCAATAAATATGGCTGCTGTAAATTTGCAGATTTAAAAAGAACAGTAAGGCTTTGATAAAAACCAGACTTTATGTAAATACAAAATATTTGTTAAATTTAGAGCACAAATCAATCACAAACATTATAAGTAACAGTGTACAGTTTGGATATATAGATAAACATATTAAATGTATACAGAAAAACAGACATACATACATGGAGACAAACATCCAGAGAGAATGATTTACAATGATGTGGATACAAAAATAAAAATGCTGGATGCTCAAGAGCTGAACACTGGATATACATACCATATCATCACAATCAAGTCACAAACCTCAGTTTAATTCCTCCAAAAAAGTATTAATAACATGACACAGATGCAAATACATGATCGATTGAAGACCAACTGCTTAGAAAATGTTAGCCATATATCTGAAAAAATAGGCCTAATGCTAAATCAAAACAGCTTTTTTCATGTGCCAAAGCCACACAAATTATTGCTAAATTTCTCTAATTTTAGTTCTGAATATCCTCAGTTTGGACAAAACAGAGAAGATTGTAAGAGAGGCATGGTTGGTGAGCTATTGAGAAAATATACCAGTAATAATATTATTTTGGTTTGATTTTTAGATTAACCTTACAAACTCTTCATCTGATAAAGAAAATATATAGAAAAATCATATATACACATTACAACCTATTTTGGTTCAAAGGCTTAGGCACATCCATCTGGTGAGATCTGGAACAGACCATTCGCATCACATTACAACCCTACCCTGAAACCCTCAAAAATAATCTCTGTTGCTTTTAAATAACAGATTTAAACTGCTTGCTTACAATAGCAATTTTCAAATCTTCTTTTAACAGTTCAATAAATACCATTCAAATCTACTTTCTCAAAACAGTCATGGGATAAAACTTATTGGCCTTATGGGATGTGGACTCCTGAGACATGAAATGAGAATGTGTCATACGAAGAAGACATACACAACACAAAAGACACAAATTAGCAATTTCTTAAAGAATTAAATTCTTCACAAGTCATTGAAAATCAAATCTGTAAATTATAAAGAAAGATAAATGCAATATGCCTCCTCACCATTACATAATCTGCATTTTCCTGAGGCCAGAAGATACCATTCATCCCAACATATTCTTCAAAAGAATATTGGAATTTTAATTTGATTTACAAATCATGGAAATTTAATTCTAGTGATACTATTGAATGGTCAACATGAGTGAATTTTCTTTTTACAGTATGATTTATAAATGGTAACAATATTTCTTCCAAATTTTCTTATATCAATTGTCAGCAAATAACATTATCTACTGCTAGAATACAAATAATTTTAAAATGCAATTTGGTATTTGTACAGTCAACTTCACTCTGATCTATGTAAGGTCTGATATTAATGGTATCAGAGCAGTGACAAATTTACAAGAATTTCTTCATAAAAAGCTACTACCCTCCTTCACGTACAATTTTACTGAATTTACATGATGCATAATGACTAGTATTTTTTTTTCTTTTTTAGCAAGTACATTAACACTGCCACAATTCAGGTTACTTAAATGGATACACTTCGTATCAAATAACAGTCAACATTATATTACACCTCATGAACCTCTTTTAACAATAAATTGGCAAAAGATTCTTTCCCTCCGAGGCAGCCACATGTATATACATACAAAAACATATCCACTATCCTTGAAAATCACAAAATAGATCCTCTATGTTTGAATATCAGATATTATAGGACTGATCTTTTCAAATAACAATGTTCTTCTTCTATAATCTAACTTGTTGTATGTCTGGAAGATTCAAAGACTCCTCGCTGGAAGAAGGGAGAGAAGGCGGCCAAGGTTGCCCGAGAGGGAGAGGAGCCGCTCAGTGGAGAGCCTTATAGTTCACTACACAGAACTATCAGCTGCTGAAGGTAAACCTGCAACACATTCAAATTTTCTTCATATGTCATAAAAAGAAAGCAAATGAAACCAAAATGTGGAGAGAAATTCAAACAAGAAAGAAAAAAGAAAGAAAGAAAAGAAGAAAACAAGATGAAGAAAGAAGAGGAAAGACAGTTTAGCCAACTGGCAACCAGTAAATTTTTCTGTAATTTTCATTGAGGTTAGGTGCGCATTAGTGTGTATGTGAGTCTGTGC